ATGCATTGCCAGAAGTTTAAAACATGCCAGCAACTTTTGCATCAGGCATTTAGCAATCACCTCATAAGCAAAAGAACAGCATTGATATTAAAGTGATAAGTGTGAGGGAGACTCACCTGGCGAGGTATCCTTATACTTGCACCTCGATTAGCAATACCAGCTGAGAAGTCTGTAATATGCGAAGTTTCATGGAATCCTGTGAGCCGACGAGCGTTGTCCTCACCATCATTGGGATCATATAATTTAATATGTTGCATATGTCGCTTACTTAACTTTTCAATAGCATCTTCAATATACCTGAAAATAATTGAATGTAAATGTGTTTTATAAATTTTTTTTTATAAATGTTGTACAATTCCCATTAAAACACTTGTGGCCTTCAAAAATGTTCAGAGAAGTGGTAATAAGACTGTCACATACCTGATTCCATTATCTTCTCTCATTGCAAGCGTACTGTAGTTGGTATGGCAACCAGCTCCATTCCAGTCTCCAGGGATTGGCTTAGGATCCAAAGATGCAATAACACCAAAGTCTTCACAAACACGATGGAGTAAAAACCTAGCAATCCACAATTGATCACCCATTGCAATTCCCTCACAAGGTCCAATTTGGAACTCCCACTGCAATCAAAAATTAAACTGTTTTAAATCACAATGCTCATTTCAACAGTCTGCACTCCATTTCACACCACTACTATGGTTAATTACTACATTGTCATAGCACCTATTGTATCTCAACAATTGGCCAAATATAACACTACTAAATAGTACAATATTCACACCAAAGTTAATTGCATCTACTTTTAACTGCTCCCTCCATTTTAAAAATACTGTTGACAAGATGTAAATTACCTGGGCTGGCATAACTTCAGCATTGGTGCCACTGATTTCAAGGCCAGCATAAATACAAGCTCTATAATGTGCTTCCAAAATATCACGACCATATACTTTGTTAGCACCCACGGCACAATAATATGGACCTGCAATTAAAAAATAGGATTATAAAATCAACAGCCGCGTTTTTAGTTTTTAACGATTAAATATTTTAGGTGATTTCAATAACACCATGGTAAATCCACATTTACATCTGCCGTTTGTGACGCATCTCAAATTAAACAAGCAGCCTGTCGGCTGAGATAGCTCCGCTGTTAGCAATGCACATGGCAATTAAAGAACAGAAGATATCATTAGAAAATGAACAAATCTGAGAGAGGTCCACATGTAGTACCTATATGTATAATATATCAAAGCAATTGGACTTGCGGTTTTCAACAAGAAGTCGAAAATATCACTTTTTACCAAAAATTACAAAAATATTCACCAAAATTAGAGAATTAAAGATATCATCATGAAATGAACAAATCTGAGAGAGGTCTACCCAAGGTACATATACACCAAGTATCAAAGCATTCAGGCTTGTAGTTTTCAAGAAGAAGTCGAAAAAGTAAAACATTGACACGGACGACGACGACGGACAATCACTCATATGATAAGCTCCGCTCGACAAAGTCGACAGCGGAGCTAAAAAACAAAAACCGTATACTGCCAATTCAGTCTTACCTTGTGGGCCAGGATATCCCATCTTAGGCCAGCCAAATGGATGACCATCTTGGCTGAGCAGTGTGTATTCTTGTTCCATTCCAAACCATGGTATATCATGCTTCACTTTGTCCATCGACTTCTTGCATGACTGACGAAAGTTTGTTTCTAAAATTACAGAAAGATGGGATAAGTACAAACTACAACCACTTTGAGATAAATTTACAATTATCAAAATTATTAACGTCCAAGTGAAGAGAATTGTACATACCTGCTGGTCGTCTGTCGTATTTATACGTTTCACAGAGAACCAACTTATTGGGTGATAGTCTGAATGGATCTTCAAATAAAGCCACTGGATGTAAATACATGTCACTGTTGCTTCCTTCAGCTTGCCCTGTGCTTGAGCCATCGTAGTTCCAAACTGGCAACTCTGAAAGGTTAACAAAAAGATACTAGGAGTTATAAAACATGACAATTAGAAAGGTAGAACCAATTTTGCAATGTCAATTGCAGGAATTTACTAATTTGTGAAGGCACTTGACAGTTCAGACAATGAAGCAAATTCACACATTTCTACAGAATTGAATTTACACCTAAATTAAATTAGTGTCACTATTCTTAACTTGCAAATAATGTTTTTGTGCTGTACATTTTTGACTTTATTCTAAACGTTTAAAAAGTAGTCATCCTGGAAGTCAATCACACATACCTTCAGGGGACTTGGGTTCAAAATCCATGGTCCTCGATTTGCATCGGACTCCTTCTCCAGACCCATCTATCCATATGTACATACATTGTACTTTGTTTCTTTGTGGCAGTTGCATGTATCGGTGAAGCACACCTTTGTTAGTTGCTGCTGAATATGTAGACGCTGAACTTGAACTAGACATGGTTATTTCCGTATCTTACAATCTGTGGAGACAACAAATTAAGACATTAGGAGGCATACAAGGCATAACTAAATACTTTTACTCATGGTTGAAATGCGACATGCCTCTCAAATCTTGCCACTCTGAACATTCAACACAAACTATTGAGAAATGCGTTAACCCGCGATTTAATACAGCCCCAATACACAAAGAACAGAGGGTAACACGTCACTAAAACAGGAAACTAAGGATAACATGATGCATACTGAAAGAAAAACTTGGGAAAGTTACTACTATGACGCACCGAGCAATAGCGACCATGACAATTAACAGTACTAGCAAGATCACGACTTTGTACACTCAAAAACGGCTAGAAATTTTCTATGTACGAGCAACGTATTATTCCAGCTGACCCAACAGTATAAAACACTAGATAAACTGCCACGGTGGCAAACCGACTGTTTAATAGGAGGTCCCACCTAACCCGGTGACAACCAGTTTTGTTTATCGCCCATTCGCTGTTGAAGGTCACGAAACACAACAAATGCAAGTTTCCCGCCAAAATAACATTTAAGCAAAACAATTAAGACGACCTTGACTTGACAAATACCAAATTTGATGCAGTTGTGTTCGTAAATTCCTTCAGAATTTCCGGAAATACTAGTCTCTGAAGTAACGTATGGTGTTAGATGATTTTGTTGAACATTAACAGACCATGCGCCGTTGCGCCACAGCTACACTGTGCGTATTGAGCTGGCGACACGAGCTCAACATTGCATCAGCCAAAAAACAATCTTTGCCCGGACAAATAAAATGCTACAAGGGAGACCGAAGACAATCAACTGCTTGATTCAAACTCACCGTTAGTGAAAGATGGGCAAAAAGAGCAATTCTTCCGAGAAGCAAGAAAATAAAGACACTCCCCAGTAGGTAGCTTCTGTAAGAGTGATGGCAGTTTCCCCGTAAATTATTGTGGTCATGTGTTCACGTGTTAAAATCATTCACGACTAGCGTGATAGCCTCGTTCCGCAAAAATATATTACCATACAATTGTTGCCATGACAACAATATGTTAGCTATATACCACGCCAGTGATACAAAAGAATTATTTGAACGAGGCTGGACTCAGCATAAACGTGATTGGACGAGCTCATATGACGTTTCACGCGTTAAAATCTTGCCCGCGCTCGGTCACCGTTTCTCTGCGTGACAAAATTATAATGACAACAGAGCATGGTTCTGAAAACGCACTTCGGCGTGGATTTAGGAAAAATGCAGTTAGCCAAGGCTGAGACAGCCACAGAAAAACACGCACTGCTAGTTTATACTGCATGTTATACACCCATCCGGACTTTACACGTTTATAGTATATTTATTGACACTGACTTAGGAAAGTACAACAGTAAGGTCAAGACATGTGGGTATATCCAGGGACATATTTAAATATTTTGTACTAACTCTATTGTGTACTTGTGTAAGGCGGACGAAATTTGCGATCACCAATTAACACCATGGTCACCCCGATTCAGGATCACCATCGGGACCGCTATCTCTAGCTTGGCAGAACCTTTGTTTCTATGTCTGAGCTTTCGCCTCAGAATTATAATAGATTTCTTTACACTTACGGCTCTGTTTATTTTGCTGTAACACGTGGGCATAGCGTGCTCTGTTGTAACATTTCAATCGGAATTATCCTATGTCACAACATGGAACTAAAAAACAGTACAATAGTGACATAGACGATTGAATTTCCAAATCGATTGGTATTTTTAGGTTGAGGCATGCATTCTGATCTACCAAAATAGAATAGGGATTCACCGAAAACTCGTGTAATATTATGACTTTGACATTATTTACCTTGAATCGAACAAGGTCAAGCATGGAACTACGGGCTTTGTAGTTCCATGGGTCAAGTAACAAATGGTAGAATCACGGTTCTAGTAACAAAGAAAGAAGCAAAGAAAACAAAAAAACTACCAAAAACGTTAAAAACACATTGAGCGTGAAATGCATCAAAAAATTACTTCTATTCGTTTTCATTAAATACTCGCCAAGAAATATGATTGATCATCAACTGAGTTGTCATAGCAATCTAATTTTAGTATGCCTGCTTTTTTCAAACATTAGTTGGTGATCACTATACGCTATGTATTCATGTAGTTCATGTCTGTAACATTATTTAGAAACTTTTTTTTCATTTGAATTCCCTTTAAATAAATTGTTCGTAAATACAGAGATATATACTAGTATATTATTCTTATATTATTAGATTATTATAAAAACTTTAGCCATTGTGAATCCATATACATTTCAGACTCGGGGCATTCATTGATGTCCTCTCTATCGACACATCTGCACAGTGTAAATTGCACATATGCATACCGGCGGTACATTCAATATGCTCGTTATGAATACTGCAAATCGCAGCGTCAACGAGTTCCACCGAATAACTTGAGCCTCAGGCTGGTACAAGTATATGTATACATGGCAACAAATTACATTAAAAACAATAAGATTTGTCGTGAACATACATACCTACAGTGCACCACGTTTCATTTAATATATCGCCACAGGAATTCCAACGTTGCATATAGACTGGTAACAATGTATCGGTCACGGTGTTTTGAGGATGACTGAAACACTTTATGAAGGGGTGTTTAAATACTGCACGTGGGGGATAATAATAATAACACTGACACGTGATAATGACACGTAAAAGGCACACTGTGTGCATTACTCATAATATGTCGTAGCCACAACGTGATTGGTCGAGGGACGCTACGTCACTGCTTTCCCGGGTGCGAGGTGATTGATGACGTCATGGAAGATTCTTGAAAAGATCTAAGACTAATGACTTTATGAAAATGTCCCTTTGAAAAAAATCACATGAGAAGACTTTTATTTCCTGTCAACACTGACGCAATTGCTTTTGTACAAATGTAAACAAAAAGAAGATTCGCGGTTTCGATTTTGTTACGTCTGAAATGGTAAAATAATACTAATGACTGTTACATTGCTGAAATGGAAACCTTTAAGATATAATTAGAAGATATAAAGTTATGACATCATCTATATAGAGATTGTCAATGAAATTGTAACATTACTATCACGTGAGCTACAAATGCACACATTTCAATACACATGATGGAAACGGGAGTAAAGTAGCACGACTTTCGCATTATTTCTGACCAATTCATCGATTTCTTGGTTGTTCACGTGACGAATGGATGATAAGTCAGCTTTTATTGATTTACCGTGCATTGCGTTGTCAATGAGTGAATAGTATACCAAATACGTCATTAGCACCACCGATATCACAGTTATTTCAGTTCGTTCACCTCAACTCGATTCAAACGTCTAATAAAAAATAAATAAAAATATTTTATGCTTAAAGTATTTCTGAGATTCTATTATATGTATTAAAATTGATGAAGGGGCTCTTATTTGTCTCATCGAGCTACTCAGTCGAGACGGTTGTGTTGGAAAAACTAAATGACACCCCCCCCCCCCCATTAGAAATAACAGAAAATCACAATAAAAATGAACATCATATGCTACAATCAAGAATGTATTACTTGTATTGTTTATTTCAACAAATGTATTGACACTAAGTGATATATTCCAAATATAAGCACTAAAATATTATAAACAGATAAGATAGAACCCTGCTCTACGGATTTCTAAAGATACGACACTGTAACACACACAAATGATATTATTGAATTAATATAAACGATGAACATTTTCACGCGGTTTATGATCAACTTTTTTAAAAATTGGGTAACTTTGAGATATTTTAAATAATTGTGTTTGATATCACATCTTAAAGTAAATTAGAGAATAATTTATCTTAATATAACCGTATAAGTACGATGACACCATGTGCACCTGATTTACAAGCACACAAGTTAGTCTAACTTGAACGTTTTCATTAAATCGTCGAACAAATATTTGTATATTTTACAGAGCTATTTTATGAAAATTTTATTCCATTAGTGTCTTTTAATATGTGATATCAAACAAAATGATTTAAACACACTTAAGAATATCCAAGGCGTTCCCCATTGCTCAGTCTTTAAAATGAATGAAAATCTTATTTTTTTCAAACTGACAATGAACATTAATTGTCCAGTATCCCGACATTTTTCAGCATTTTCGCGTAAAAATGGCGAAACTGCAACTTCCAATAGGACCATGTCAACATAGTCTAAAGTGTTCATGGGTTAACCACACTCGATCACATCGACTATAAACACTACATAATATGATATGATAACAAACTAAGACATTATATGTTATTATTGGGAATATATGGCCCAGTAATCTGTAACCATTCTCAATTTGGTCATTTTTTTATTTAAACTTTAACCTTTGTCACCCAGTTTTAGGTGGAGAATGTCGACGATGACAATGACAGATTGAGACAGTTTGCTAACAATACTATCTTCTTGTATTGAAATACTCATGGACCAAGATGTCACTCATCACAGTGTAAATGAATACAGTTTGATAATTGTGTATGATAATGTACGTATTTTACTAGTAATCATTTTATTTTTCCGATTGTATGTAAATTAGTCTTCCTGTACATATAATTTGCATAATATTACATGAATCAAACTGTACATATACTGTGTTCCAGATATAACATGCCCTTCACACGATATTCTAACCACTTCAATAGGAATAAACAAGGGTTATATCAGTGAAAATCATGGCAATCAGATGGTTAAAAATCGATGAAGAAGCATTCTGAAATATAGCTATATTAAAAAGACAATTAATTACTAGTAAAATACAGTCAAAAATATGAATTGGTTCAAGCTGTCAACTTGGGTGGAATTGTATCGGAGGGGTACGTGGTCGCATCATGATACATACAAGAGAAGCTCGCAAAAAAACAGAAATGACCTTTCCTGCCATTTTAAATGCAATATGAACGAAAACATGCAGTTTAGTATTGTTGCTTGACACTGTATGCGGATGAATACACTGGACTATGATGATTTAGCATGAATTGAAAAACCTGTTATTGTAGCATATATCTGAGTGTTCATCCCCGATTGAAATTACCTAATACTATTGCACTTGTTGTTTTGGTACGTACAATAAAAACACTGCACATGCGTATTATTGGTTTCGATTTTTCTTTTTACTGTTTTGTGCCCCGTAAACGCAACAGTTTTAATTAATGGTAAATCAACCAAATATATATTTTCGTTCATATTGTATCTTTAATCCGCAACACGATATTTACCGTGACCGCTGGCATAAATCTCTTATGGAAATCACGTCCTATCCTGTAATTGAATTGAATAGTAGTTTTGTTTTGTAGTAGTTTTTCATATCTAGAATACAAATTGGTGAATAGTAGATATATCTCTAATACAGTCAACCAATTATACATAGCGATATGTATCCATTACTTCCAATTCCACAGCGGTCAAGACGACAAACTAATTTGCGGTGATTACCGATACTACTATTACCGCTGACAAGCTACCATAAGTGAAATTATTTTGTCAAAAATCGACGACAAAGATTAAACTTCAGATCTGTGAACTATACTTTTTAATTAATAACATATTGTAACCATGTTAGAATTATGAATTTACAGCACAACATACTTTTATTACTGTAATTGACAATAAATCCCCTGGATTGTCACATTATTTGAAATTGACGATGTGGATAATGTTATTCATCCAACGCAATAAAAATCACCAAATCTAAAATTAATTCCTGTTTCTTTGACGCAAATCGTTAATAAGTTTTCTTACGTTTGGATCTGTGCCAAAATAATGTGAATGAAAATGAAAGTCTTTCTCAAACTAGCACGTGTACGACGAGTGTTCAACTGTTCACGCAGTCGGCGAGTGTCACGTGAATGCAAGGCCAGAATACTCATTAACATAACATTATATTTCCGTAAATAAACGATGTCACGTGTGAATGTTGTGATCGGAAAATGCCGGGTGGTCCGTGAGCGAAGTAAAATTGAATCGAATACAATAGATCAATGTCGCAACAGGTCAAGGCAAAGTATATGTATGGTTCGGTGTTTAGAGAATGTATATGTAATATATACGACCTATGTAGCATGATGGTTGATAAAAATACCATTGGTGGTGAAAGAGGGAATCAATTCTAAGAATGGAAAATTATGTACCCTACTACATACCTATCCTCAATATTAGATCAAATAATAATGTCGACAATCTACACAATTAATGGGTATAGTAAACAAAATATATCAGGAATTGCGGTTCTTCATAACCGTGATAAGATACGTGACGTCAAAATTCCCACTTTCAACCCACGCTGTCTACGCATGACACGAACATGTCCCCATGCATCGGTCTCGCAGTCTGATTGTCAATAGATATTACACAAATGTAATCAAACTTGTTGGAGAATTTATACACAGCTCGTTCTTAATGAGAAACGAGAAAGATACTTAACAAAAACACTAAAATCTATCATTTATTATTTGCTATAGTTATTTTGTTTTTTAATATCTTACTTTTGTTGCTATAAACTGATGGAAACACTGTATTTCTAAGGATGCAATAAATTATCTTTATTATTACAAGAGAACTGGTGATGGTTGTAGAACCATAACTGCCTCAGCTCAAAGATTGTTATGTAATACAAGGGAATGTGAAGGGAAATGTATTGTAATG